TTTCGAGTTTTGTTTTTTGGTAACATTCCCTAGAAGAGTTGAGCACAGTTTCTTAATCATTAATCAATAGCGAGGAAATTCTGATCAATATTTCCATAGATGTACCATACATCGAGTATCATATCATTCAGCTTCTGTCATGCAGTCTCACAGAATTTCTTGTCATAAATTCGCTAAGAGATTTAAACTAAGAGTATTTACATTTCTGTGAACCATGAATGTGTTTTCTATTTCAAGAACAATGAATCCAAATTATTCCCTCTTTGGCATTGAAATACCTTGCATCGAGTCTTATAGCATTCAGCTTTTGTCATGCAGCTGCCTTAACTACATCTTTGGGGATTTATATATGTATTTCGGTTTTTATTATAACCCTTAAGCACACTGCCGTCCATTGTACTGTTCAGGGTAGTCGAGCATTCGTAGTCGAGCATTCTTGACTAGAGTTTTCTTACTTGTTTTTTCTTTATTTATGCATTGTTCCCTGCAGCTAGGTTGAGTTTTGCATTTTATTGTGAACTGAGAATACATTGGAGTATATTCGAGTTCTTGAATTGTATTTCAGATGGTGATCAGATACATAATTCTCTACAATTTCTATATATGGGTCGTTCAATTAAAGGAATTAATCTATTATAATCGATGGCTTAGCTTCGGGCCTCTGAAGCTAAACAACTTTTTGTTGTGTCTCAGTGCGACATATTTCCTTTCTATTAATCTCTCCAGCCCCTCACATTGGCAGCGCCTGCCAAGGCATTTCGCAAAGTCACAATTTCCATTAGTAGCTAATGAAGCATTAAAAAGTAACGAAAAAAGAAAGTAGCACAAAAATACTTAGCGCCATATTTCCCAGGAAGTTGAGAGTTGCTATCAAAAAGCACAGCAGAGCACAAAAAAAAAAAATAATAATACATATATATATATATATGAGTGAAAAAAGAAAAAATCAAATGAAAAGAACTTGAGAAATCAAATGAAAAGAAAAAAAAAAAAGTAATATGCGTCTGGCTGAAATGCGAGTAGCTGAAACGCCGAGCATTGAATGAAATGGAGAATAAAACGCTGAAATCTAAAAGCGACGCGAATTAAATACCTTTTAGCAATTAATCTGCTTAGCTAATGGACGATTTCAATGCAGACGACAACTGCAGGGCGAGAGAGGGAGAGGGAGAGAGAGAGAGAGGGGCTCAGCTAGCAGAGATTGTGCCAGCCAAGGAGGCACTTACATTAGGCTTACGGCTCGTTGACCAGGCCAATGCGCCCAGGGCTTATGCCATACTGTATTTGCAGACTAATTTCATTCAATAAACGCGCGCCTCGACCATCGATGCTGCCCGCACATGGAGGACAGAGTCGGAGTCGGAGTCGGAGTAGGAGACTCGACGTCAGGACTTTTGCGCTCTTGGTCTGCTCTGATTTGCCTTGGCCCGCCAGCATTTGTATGTTTGCCTTTTGGCCATTGACAGCCAACGTGGAATTTAATTTATTTAGTTGCCATTTCAATTGACGCGTCCGAGTTCAATCTCATTTTGTTTAATATCGCTTTAGATTTCTCTGCCATATCTGCACCGATTTGCCGCTGATTGTCATAAGCTACTTTTGTTAATTGAGCATGACTCTATGTGGGAACCATGTGCTTATTTAAAACTAAATAAATAACTACTATGAAATTCAGACTAACTTAAGAATCGACATTGGCATTGTCGTTGGCAAAAAAAAAATATATATATATCATGAAAGATGTAAAAAAATATATTGAAACCAGTAAGAGTAATCTAGTCGAGACTGTTAGCTCGTATTCTACTTTCATGATAAATATGTATATATATGTATATATATTTAAGTCACATCTTAGTCAATTTGATACAGTTAGAACATTTAGTGAAGTTGGAAGTTCCAAGCATACCATAAAAATGGCAATTAAATCTCTATTTTTTATGGTCGAATTGAAGAAAGATCATATTGTTTTTAATACACATTTAGCCCATTGAAAATGGAAAATCAGACCTAGAGAGTTAACATTTTTTTCTAGGTTCTTGCATATTATGCGCATATCGGGTTTGTTTCTAAAATTCGATAACTGCTCTCGTTAATTCGTTAACGTTTGAAATTGATATCTCAGCAGTATACGACATCAATTAGAACTTTTGTTGCTTTTTTCTATAATTTTTTGTATAATATATAAATTGTTTTTTTTTTTCTAAAATTTTGCGAATTAAAGTTTTATAAAATTCTGTATTAAATTCTTATTTATTTTTAAATTTAATTGCATTTAGGAACCTTGAATAACTATGCTATGTGTAAAAACGATCTAGTTTGTTTTTATGTTGTATAATTTGTTTTTATTTTGTTGATTTATTAGCCAAGTATTGTTTTTAGATATTAACTGTTAGCTTATAGTTTAATGGCCATCACGCGTACATGTGTATGCGGTTCAGGTGGGTTGAATACAACTCGACCGTTTTCATCCCTGTAGTCCTTATAGGCTAATTTGTAGACGCACTCCATGCCCAAGGCCTGCTTCTGGCGTGCCGAATAGAAGCTGGTGCAGCAGGCCACCAGCAGAGGGTAGCCCTTGGAACGAGCCACTCCGATTAGAGCGACAGTTAGACGTGCGCCCAGTCCTTTGCCACGCATTGTGGCATCAACATTGGTGATGTGTGAGTAGAGCAGCTTAGAGACGCCGTAACGCTTGAAGAGATTGGCTTCGTTCTCGACCTTTGCTATAAATGTTTCGATGCGTTCAAAGTCAGTTAGTGCCGATACACTTTGGGAATATCTATTCAAATCGCTAGGTGTCTGAGCAGCAGCCAAAACTATGCCGACGATGCGTCCTCCGTTCTTCTCATCGATTGCCACGAGACTAGTTCCTTGCTCTACAATGGAAATGTAATATTCATCGTCCTCCTGCTCATTACCCTTCTTCACGTTCCCGCCGCAGAACGCATCTAGCGGCTCGTCATTGTTCACATTCCCGCCCATTGCTTGCTTAGCATTCTGAAAATCTGAGACGTTCATGACGCGTATGACTATGCCATCCGCTTCGCTCGATTCGCTAGACATGTTTAGCCTCTAGAGTTCGCTAGTAAACTATTTCACACTTTAGCCATGCGCCACTATTATATGTGTTAAACTTATTATTATTTTCTGATTGTTACCATAACAATTACTGGGATTTACTTCGTTATTAGCTAATGGCAGTCGTTGCCTGATAAAAATAAGTAATATTTTGCATTTGTGAGCAGAAAATACAGATTCTATAATGAATACTATTTGCTAGACTATTACTTAACTACTTCAATTTGATATATTTTATAATAATTAATTCTTGTGCCTCGATGCTGCTGGTCAATCTAGGAATGCGCAAATATTATTTATTACCAACAGCAGAGCGAGCTGGACGTCCTGGAACTACCTTATGTCATCTTCCACACACACTTCATTTATATACATTTATGTGTGCGTGTGTGTGTGTCTGTGTGCATTTATCTGGGCAACATTTTTGCATGACGTGTGTTCATTTGTAACCTTTTTGAAACATTTACAATATTCACCGGTTTGTGGCTGTTTTATTTATGCGAAGGCAGGCCGTCATATTTTATGTTATTATATATTGAACATGTACTTATGTTGCGTAAGAGAGACGGGTGGGGCTAGGGCCAGTGGGCCCAGTCCCAGTCACATAATGATAAATCATGGCACAGTCGAGCCACTGCTGCTGTCATAAACAACAACAACAAGTAAAAATAAATATATATATATATATTTGATTGAAATGACATGGACAGCAGCAGCAACAGCAGCAGCGGCAGCAGCAGTAGCTCTGCTCCAGTTCACCTGCCATCCGCTTCATTTTGTGCTGCATATTAAAGTTGTTGTTTTTTTTTCGGTTCGCTTTTCGCATAAGTGAAATTAACCTTCTCCCTGCCCTCCTGCTCCTGAATACGTTCAACTTATTATTGCTGTCAGGCTGTCTGATCAAACAAAATATATGAATACGCTGCTTGTATTCGATATGAAACCCAATTGGCAATTGCCTTGGCAAGACGACTCAGTTGTATATGCAGTATAAGTCAAGGCAAAGGGGTCTAGATCATTCAGTTGATATGCAATTTATCGCCCGTCCAGTTGAGATCGCAGATATTCTTCATTAAATACAGAAATCTCTTTCTCTCTCTCTGTTCGCTTCTGCAATAATCGCAACAATTTTACATCATTTGTGACTCGAGTTTTATAGCGCGTGTAAATTAAATGAAATAAAATATTTGACCCTTGATTTATTCCAAAAACTTCAGAGAGAGATTTTTCTGCCCAGTTGCTGGATGGCTGCTTGATTATAACGGAGCATAATTCAGATCAGCTCTGTTTGTCTGCTCTGCGTTTGTTATTAAATAAATTGACTGACAGACACACAAACACCAACACGCACGCACACACGCACACACACGCACACACACACGCACAGTCAGACATGTGTGCCAGAGCCTGGCTTGGCGTCCTCCTAGGTAGCTCATCATGTCATGAAAATTGTATGGAAATTTAATTGAAAACATAAGCCAAGGATAACAGGCCAAAAAGGACAGGCAATCACATACACACGTGCGCACATATGAGCCATATCAAAATGGCTGCCACACACACACACACACACACACATGGACAGACAGAGAGCTTAACAACTATGGCCGCCGTCTGCCTCCCAGATGACTTCTCTGCTCATTGCGGCCGCTGCGCAGGAAGTGTACGAAATGATATAAATAAATAAACAAACTACAAGATAAAGCTATTTGCAATTTGATTGTCAATTTTCATGAGGCTGCCAGCCGTCCCGGACCGTCCGGACATTTCCGCCACAAAAGCGAAACTTTTCCGATATCTATTTGAATGCTTTTCGTCTTCATTTTTGTTCCTTTTTTTGGGCTGAATCTCATCTGTCATTGGTTCAGTCATTTACTCAGTGCTGCAGTCAATCAAATTCCATGAGTGATTTTTGTTAGGCAAAAACTTTTATTTTTTGCCAACTTACCTGTCCATTTTCATTTACATTTTACGCCTGATTGGCCAAAAATAGCATTACGTGTCCTTCCTACACTGGCATACGTCAGAGCTGGCATCGTCTCGCCTCGCCTCGCCCCGCAATGCCCCCATAAAAAAATCCCCAAAAAAATAGAGAAGAAGAAAAGTTTAATTGCATATTTCAGTTAGGGCAACCCACAACAATTTTGTAGTTTCAAATGCTTGCCAACAATTTTCCACACAATTAAAAACTGGCGTCAAATTATGGCGCACTTAATCCCGCCACGCCCCCTCACTCGACTGAACTTCAAAAGCCCCAAAAAATACAAAAAAAAAACCTAATTAAAAAGCGCTTAATTCTCGAGAAAAAAAAATACGAAATTCTGAGCACTGGGCGTGTGCTAATTTCATAATCCAAATAAAGTTTCAATTAATTTGGCCAGCGCAGCATTACAGTTGTATTTTTTTTGCATGGAAAATGAAAGAAATTTTGTAGCTACCCTTGAATAGCTGCTGTGGGGTAGTTATTCAAAAACGTTCAGCTTCAATGGCCGCGTAATTATAATTTGAGTTTGAGCCGAGTTTAGTTTAGCCGAGTTTTTGCCCGAATTGCGGCCAGCCTCGAGTTATCCCCAAGTGCTCAATCTACGGCTGAAGCTGTTGAAATTGGCGCCAAGTGGAAAGTGCAAATGGTTAATGAAATCCAAATTTGAAAATTCTAACTGTGCGAAGAATTGACGTATGAAAATTGCAGATAAATAATGTTGTGAATGAGCAAAAAGCTGGACGGTCTTTTAAATGCACTGTGAAAATGCTAGTGAAAATACAGGATCTTAGGCCTCAACTTTAGTACATACTAGGGCCATACTAAGTGTTATGAATTTTAAAAAAATTGAGGCTCAAAAAAACCTACAAGAATAGAGGGAAAAACACACTAAATTTATGTTTTTACAGCAAATAAAAAAAAAAAATGTATTTGCAATTTTTGTAAAACAAAATAATGATTTTTTATTATTATTATAGTTTTTAAAATAATAATAAAAATATTATAGATCAACTTTTATATAAAAATCACCTCAAAACTATTGATTAAATGTTTATAATAAAAATTAAATATAAGAGTAATGGCTTAACTTTTACTAAAAGAATTTTTTTAATTTTATATACTTTCCTTTTTATTTATTTATATTTTTATTTCGTTTTTTTATTATTATTATTATTATTATTATTATTATTTTTTTGAGCACTTTTAGATTTGTTTTGAAAATAATGAGTAGTAGATTTTTTTAGCATCTCGCTATATTATTGAGTAATATGATTTAGTGTCTGTCCAATCCATTTTTCACACTCTGTTATTATTTATGCTGTTTTTTTATCACTCTCTCTCTCTCTCTCACTTTCGCCGTCTCGCTATTTGTGCCAGTCTTTATGCAATGCTATGGTTCATTAAAAGGTACTTCAAATTTAAATGCGGCCATAAATGTTGCTCGCCCAGCGAAAAGAACAAAAGATTCGCAGAGGCGGGAAAATGCCAAACAAATGATGGCCCTTTCAACCCGCCAATTGTCAACTCATCTGGCGTGGCATTAACCCCATGACACCGACACACACACATAGACAAGGAATGAGAGAAAAACTGGGCAGACTGAGCCACAAAAAATGTTTGGCAGCAAAAATTATAAACCACTCGAGCATATTTTGCAAGTCCCCAGACCCCACGGCAAGAGAGAGAGAGAGAAAGAGAGGCAATGAGGACGTACGAGGAGTTTCATATGGATGGAGAATTTTTTTTCCTTTGTTGCCATTTTTCATGAGCGGCTGAAAAAGTTGAAACGGAAATGCGACCATACAAGCGGATATGAGACGGACGTACGGACGTACAGACAGACGGACGAACGCACTCGGGGGGCGGCAAGGAATACATATAGACGCGATATATAACCGAGAGACCGCTTCGCGTCAACCTATAAATAAAAGAAATGCGGCCCGAAATCCCCAATTCCCGCCATGGAATATGCAACATTTGTAACTGCGCTGCGTGGACAGCCCATTGGCTGGGAGCGCAGGATTGGTACGGGGCTCAGGCTCTTTAGCTCGGATCGAGCAAGGTTTGAGTCGCAAATTTTTTTTTTTTTTTTCCTTTTGGTTATTAACAGGCGACTAGAAGCAAATATATGAGCGCACTTTTTGGCTGGCAGTCAAAGCGCAGCCAGCGAGCGGAAGTGAGTGAAATTATTTTTAAACGGCTTGATGTCTGCCCAAGCGAGAGAGAGAGAGAGAGAGAGAGAGAGAGAGAGAGAGAGAGAGAGAGAGTGCAGTGT